CTGACCCGGCTTTCATTTACACGGGGGTCAGTCTGGAGTAACTCCATTTTAAATTAATGGGGTCAAGTCAGTTTAAAAAGAGGAATGAGTAGTGAAAGAAAATCAGGACAGCTAACACTATCTGACCTTTAAAGCCATTTCTGCTTGTTTGATGTACTTGTGAATTATGTTTCCCTGCTAAGTATGGTCATACAACATGGGTAAAATCCTGACCCCAATGATGGCATAGCTAATGAGTTCTGTGGAATCAGGATTTCACCTCATATACTTATAATGGAAATCCTCCTAGCTCTCATAATTCTACTGTCAAATTCTGCCCTGACAGAAAATGCCACAATTCCTAGTAACTTTCCTTAGAATTATGCTTAAGTTTGAATTTCTCCATTATCTTTGGTCTCTTTTTTTCTTAGGAGAAACTTGCTTATCAATATTTCAGATTTCTCTTTGAGAAGCGTTTTTTTTTGTACCTGTAGTCTATAGTTTTAATGCATTAATAAATCAAAGAAGCAATCCTAGGTTTTCAGGCTGTAATAAATAAACTACAGGTATCACATTCTTGCTTCGCCATTCCTTACATATGGTAAAAAATCCAGTAAATCTCCGACAGTTGGTCCATTAAAGTGTGCAGGATTTTATGTAGGTAAGAGGATTTGTAAATTATAACGCTAACTAAATTGTATATGCATTCCTAATACCAGAGAATATTCTCTTAATGTGACATACTGATTCTGTTCTGCTATGTTTAGAATTAATGATGATAGTATATTCATTTTAATAACCAGTATCACAAATATGTATCTTTAGGTAGGAGGTAGTGGCACCTAAAGGAAACTTGATTGTGACCTGAGGTTTACAAAAGACTGACAGTTCAAGCTGATTTATGTAAATTTGCATAGCATGATTCCAGGAAAATAAGGATTTGATTTTCCTTTCCTATGTTTGAACAGTCATTTATTCAAATGCAAATTTGGTGTAACATGCCACTCTGCATGAGTGTAAATGGCTTCACAAGAGCACGGCAAAGATGACTCAAGCCCCAATGTATATTGCTAAACATTTTTAAGAATACAAGCTAGCATTACTTTGCCCGAAATGCCAAAGATACTTCACACATGATGACAATTTATAAGGCCAAGTTCTTTTACTCTCTTTGCTGTATCTCTAAGACTTCAGCTATCAACATACTGACTATTGCAGGGATAGCTTCTTTTCTTTAACCGAGATGCATGTTGTTGTTACTTATTTCACAGTTGATTAATTTTATGCATTTATGAATTTTAGTTAAAGAATTGAGTAAAATGAAAACTAGCATGCTTATGGTGACACATCCTCTGAAAAATGCCCTGAAACAGTTGATATTTGGAAATATTCATTAACTCTGTCAATAAAAATGGCAGTTTTGCTCTGCAATTTAAAAGTCCATGCATTTCAGATCAGACCTTATTATTAACAGCCCTAACCGGCACTGAAGTCTAAAGCAATTGCTGTTGTTCAGCACCTCATAGTAGGTGTCCAGTACCTTACCAGATCATGCTTACAATTGTTAACTTTACCCATGATAAAAAAACTTTCTATGATTACAATCAGCCTCTTTATCTTTGTTACCTGTTACAAACACCTTTGTACCAGAACCAAATACTTTGATGTAATAGCTAGACGATGTAACGCAGTGAGCGAATCCTTTGCAAAAATCCATAAAAATCAGGTATCTGTCTACTGATGAACTGTTGCTTTATTTAAAAAAACAACAACCCTGATTTGCTTTTAAAATTGCTTTTGGGACTTTCAATAAAATAGTACATAACGCATGTACGTGTAAAATAATGTGAAAACTTTGGGGACAAAACACACTTAAACATCACACTATCATTCATGCAATTGAAAATCTGCCTCTAAACAGAATGTGAAACAACATGGTTCAGAATAGACAATTCTACTAATTTCTGGAAAGGAACAAACTATTTGGAAAATTAGGGGCCAGAGGCTCTGGTTACAAAATTAAACCTACATGTTGCCACTAATGATATCAATAGACTGAGGCCAGAATAGAGCTCTTCAACTGGGTATGTCCATGAGAATCATTTTGGCTAACTTCTACCACTTGGTGTAATAAGATTTATTCCTCTACAGAAAACAGTTGCTCTTCAGAAACATTTGTCGCAGGCACTAGACACCCAAGAAGGATGATTTATCAGTATTTAGAGGGAAGGATAAGATGAATTAAAGGCATAGGATTCTCTCTGTCCCCTTAAATCCAAACATGCCCCCGTTCATGTCAATTGCAGTTTTGACTTTTTCTTCAATGGAATCAGGATTTCACCCCATATATTCCTGAATAGTTTGTTCTTGTCCTGGATAATAAACATAGTAAATGCAGAAAACAACTTGAGAAACTTACTTGAAACCACCAATGTGGTGCCTGAGCCAAAGTACTTTACCCCAGACTCACATCATTGAAATCCTCTACAAAAACTAATGAATCATCAAGTTATGAATTTCATCAGACTAGCATACAGACATTCCTATCCAATATACAGAGTCCATAATACACACAAGACAGTCTAATACCTGCATAACTATGTGAGTATTAACCTGAATTTATCCACTTTGTGAATTCTTGGTCTTTTTTTCTCTCTCTCTTTCTATTTCCATACACCACAGAATGGCAAATTGATTGGGATAAATTGCTGGCCACCACGTTCTTCCAATTATTTCAGTGGATGGGCAGGATTTAGTCTGATGATCTAATATGTGCCTAAATGGGAAGGGATGGTCCAGTGTTTAAACTACCAGAGTGCTTTATTTCTGTCTCTCCCTGTCTGCTCTTGGGCAAAGCACAATCTCTGGGCTTCCCTTTCTATTTGTCTGTGCATAATGTATGGCTTAGATAATATTTGCTAGACAATCAATTATAAATACTGCTATGTACTCAACATTAACTCGAACTTATATAGGTGATTGGACTGTTTCTGTAGATTTAATAATATATGGAGACTACTATACACAGGAGAAAAAAATATTCCCATAATATCCTGAAGACTGTTGCATCCTAGGTAATTTTCTGTCATTAACCACCAAAGGCTGATAGAGCACTAATGATAGCAAACCATTTAATAATCTCACTTCTGCTAAATTGATACCTGTTCTGCTGGTATTTGGACTCCTTCAATGGGAGATGAATTTGGCCCTATAGTTTAAATGTAAAGCTCCATTTCCCCACTTCCTGGTACTTAACAGCCAGTCAATAAATATTCCAGCCTTTTACTCTTGTATTCACTTTACTCACATACAGATCCATATGCAGATCAAGAGCAATCCATGGCTTAGGTGCTACTTTCTTTTCTTATATTCATTTATTCAGTACAGTTTTTGTCCTTTTATTCTATTCAGGAAAAGAAAATCAATCAAAAATAAAAATACTTACCAGAAACAACTAGCTGCTTTCCTGTGCCAAAGTACTTAATCCAGCCAGAAGTATCACATTGACTTTTTCTTTTACAGTAACCAGTGGAACCTTACTTACACTCCTGTATCATTGCTCAAATAACAAAGCACTCCAGCCAGTAGATGTTAGTTGGCCTCCGTCGGTCAGTTGACCATGGATGACGTATCCTAGTTCTCGTCTTGGTTCGTGTCGAATTGTCTGGGACAGCGTCGGGGACAGCGTCGTTGGTGGCTGAAAAGGCCAATCCGGGACAGGCCAGTAGATGAGATCATTAGAAACACTAAGAAATCCTTATGTCTTGACAGTTTGGGCAATTTAATGAATTTTATATTTTTATGTGGATCTAAAGTTGATATGTGAATTCTCTTCACAGTGATCCTATTCACAAGTTTTTTCAACTCAGCAGATCCTTGCTCTTTAAAATGGAGAAGGGATTATGGCTTTTGTTTTATTTTAATGTTGTAAATGGATTGTTGGATCAGGTTTTTCTCAGAAATGGTCATTGTCTTGTCCGCATGCTAAAGGATTATCTCATGGACTGCCCATTACACAGAGCATGGCTTACCTCTCTCTCCTCCCATTTGCACTCCCATCACATCCCTGTAGCAACAGCATACATGGAAAAAAATACCTGGAAGTATTTCATTCTTAGCTCTGTTCCTGACATTTAATAGATGGAAAAGAGGAGGAACCACATCATATGAACAACCAGCTCTCTTCTTACTTAAAGGGACCTCAATTATGGCCTGCAGCTGGGAACGTATTTCCTAGATAGATTTTTTCCCCCTATCATCTATACGTAGGGATCATCGTAATTAGAGTATTTCCAATTTACTGGTGTCTTTCTGTGAGGCTGCTGAGGATCGGGGAATATTTTCCTCTACATACACACAGGTTTTAAAACCGAACAGAGATAACATCTGAGAAAGACCACCTCATTTCAGACAAAAGGTGTGGTTGGCAGTTTATTAACTGTAAGGGAACTAATTCAAGCATTTGATCTTTCTCAGAGACACCCTTCCTCAGACCTCACTCTCCTGCAGAATAATTCTGGGAAATAACTGACAGTGGGTACAAGAATGTGGTTACACAGGTGGTTGTGTCAACTGTCTATCCAAGACATTTTTGGGACAATCTGCCATAATGGCAATGGTGCTGGTGAATCTTCAGTGGTGAGCATGGGGAGAACCGATGTAGCGAGCTGAATCACAGCCACAGACATTCTACACCATGTCTTCTAGATGGTCTCTAGATGAGCAGGATGAAGTGACACCATAATAACCATGGCAGCACTTGCACTGATGGAGTTTCTGGCCTTTAGGTGGTTTTACTGAACTCAGTGTAATGGTAGGAAGTCTCATAGAATAAATGCGTTGTCGCACCTCTCTCTAGCAACCCAGGAGCTGGCCAGGAGTTAGAGCTGCCAGAGGGCACAGGCAGCTGTTGGGAGCACCCTCCACCTCAGCTTGGGTGGTGCCCTCCAGGGCTGTGGGGATGCAACTCAGGGCCAAAGCCTTGGGAGGAATAGGAGGAGCTGGGAACAACACTGACTCTAGGGCTGGAGGACCCACAGGGTAAAATGACTCAGTGCTCAGCACCCACTAGCCGACAAGCTCAACTCTCTGCAAACCTCCCACCAGAGCCTGTCGCTCGCTGGTGCTGTTTTGTGGTGCTGGGGATGTTCTGGGATGTAGCAGGGAAGTAGCGTGCTTGACAGAGGAGGCCGGGAACAGGAGTGGTCTGAGTGATTTCTTGGGGAATGGGTGAGATGAGGGGAGGAGAAAGCAGAACAGGGACGGGGACCAGGGAGGTGGCCTGTCTATACATTGAGCTCAGCTGCCCCTTCCTCTGCAACAGCCCCCGTTAGCCACATGCAATATTAGGACACGTGCACTAGGGTGATGGGAGTGAAGAGCGACACCATGTGACTTCGCAGGGAAGGCGGAGTGTAAGAGGAACAGTGTCACCAGCCTCAGCAATTTTGGGGGGCAATTTTTTTGTACATCTTTGCCAAAACCTCAAGTGTTGTGGTGGGCAGCCCTGCTGCTGCTGCAGGCCACTATGGCATCAGATGTGAGAGCAGAGACCTTCTCTCTTCTATCTTCTCAATGCTTCCCCGCCTCCTGCTGGCTGCGAGGAGGAGGAGGAGAAGGAGGAAGCAGCCTAACTAAGAACACAGTGTGTGTGTGTGTGTGTGTGTGTGTGAGGGAGGGGGGCGGGACGCAAGGAGAGACAGGGGCAGTTACCAAAGTGGGAGTTAAAGAATATGTGTGTGTAGGAGGGAATGGGGATGGTTGACAGAAGTGGGTGACACAGTGACACAAAGGAAAGAGGGGGGGAGGTGGGACAACAGAGAAAAAATGGACTGGAGGTGATAGGACTAGAGGGAGGACCAGAGGGAAATATGCAGGCATGGATAGGGGAAGGATAGGAGCAGAAGGGAATGCAGCAGAAGATATGGGGAGGATAGAAGCTGATGGGGAGAGGTGGATAAGGGAGAGGGGGGACAGAGACAGGATTAGGGTTAAAGAGAGGAGTGATGGTTTAGATCTCAGTGCTGGCCTTGGATTTAATTCTCTTGTACCATAGGCTTTCTGTGCGGCTTTGGGCAAGTCACTAAGGGCATATCTGCACTACATGGAAGATTGAAGCTGCCACAGTAGATCTTTCTGTGTTGGATTTAGCAGGTCTAACGACATTTGCTCCTGTCAGCTTCTCGCTGTGTGGATAGCGCAGAAATTCAATTTAAAATATGTCAACTCCAGGTATGAAATTAACATACCTGAGTTGCATGTCTTAATTTGATCGTCCACTAGAGTGTGGACCAGGCCTTAGTCTCTATAGCCAACACTTCCCTATCTGCAGTACGGGACCAATAGTACTTCCTTACTTCACAGTGGTGGTCTGTGGATAAATGCATTAGAGATTGCCATGTGTTTAGATACTATGTGAAAAAGGCCTTGTAGTTTCTAGAGTTGATTTCCTTTAAATCAATAAACTGGACAGAATTCTGCAATGCTGAATTTCATTTAAAATTCATTAATATTACAAGTAAAATAGTCAGAAGCCTGTTTTTATTTTATAAAGCAAATACATGAAATCAGTAGCTATGAAATGAGAAATTCTTTTAAGTTACAGATTAGGACTCCATTCCTGCAAATATGTATGGGGCCGAGTTTTCACACAGACTTTACTGCATGCTGTTGGGCTGCCCAGATCCAAAATGTTCTTTATGTGCACAAATGTTTTTGCAGTAGAGGAGCCTAAGAGATGGATCCTGCCCCGCTTTGTGAGGCAGAATTCCCACTGAAACCAAGGAGTATAATCTAGGAAATTCAATAGTTGCAAAATTAAAATGATAAAAAAGACCAACTGTAAAACTGTTAGGCCCAAAGCAGAAGAAGCCTTCTTATGCTATAATTAAAGAAATAACCAACAAACTCAAACTCAAAGCATATCTTAATATGTGGAGCAAGGTGTTTCATGGTCATAAACCTGTTCACAAGCAAAGTAACTTTCAGACACACATGTTGAGGCTGGAAGGCTGAAGGAGAAGTTCAGGGTTTCTTTCCATGGCGTTTGCTTGAACTTTTCATTCTGTACATGAAGAAGAGTACAATGACGTAGTACATGGTGCTTTTCAGGAGAAGGAGGATGTATACGAAATATGCAGTTGTGTGCGTTAAACTCTCTGTAAAATCATAATCTGCACAAAACACAACAACAACTGGTTAAAGGTACATATTCTATAGACTGAAATAAAAACAATATGAAGCTTTGGGTATGATCCAATAAGTTATGTATGGTATTTGATTGTAGTAATTATACCAGCAAATCAGAGTGGGCATAAATCTATATCTGATTGTGTCCTTTATGATCTGATCATCCCTTTCCAGAGAGCAAAGTGGAGAGAAGCAAAGAAGCCATTTCAGTGCTGTCTTCTCTGACGTCTGCTAAGGAGTAGGCAGGATGCTAGTGACTCTGGCACTGAGAGCTTCTAATAGGGTGTTTGACATGATTTTACGGCCCAATATTCAGACTTGGGTGCCCAAGTTTGTTCTAAATCTTCCTGTAGAGAAAATGAGAATTGGACACAATTACCTGTGGAAAACGTGGTGCCGTTCTCAACTCTGTTGACGCAAGGCACTATCTGGTTGTCCGGAGCATTAGGTGCTGTAGAAAATTAGCAAAAGAAGTTTGATAGAAGTTCAAAGACAATGATGTTTAAAAATTCTGTAACTACAGTTCCTCAAATGTAAAAAATTACTTTTTTAAACAAATGAGGAGGGAGTCAAATTCCATTCACACATATACTCAGTAGCAGGTTATTGATTGGGCAAAACCTTGTAGATATAAATAAGGAAACCCCCCCACAAATGCTCTCCATGAGTAGTTGTATGCCTTTCTATTCATTTAGTTGGAGATGTTGTCCCTGAAAGGAGCTCATTTGAAGTTGTTAGTATTTGTGTGGGTGTAGGGGTTTGGACTAGCAGATCTGATTGCAGGTTCTCGACATGTCGCTCGCTGTGCACGCAAACTTCTGTTTGCATAAGGCTGGATGCATTTTGTCCAACCAAATTACTCAGTTGTGTTTGCTCTTCGACAACATGTATTTATACTCGGCCAATTAAAACCTGGCCACCTGATTGTCTAGCCTGATGGAGCCTGGGATTGTTGGTACTTAGGATAATGGTATTATAGGTTAATAGCTATGTAAGGGGCAGAAGAAAATAATCCAGATGAGCATACAGTCCAAACCTCATCTCTTAGGCATTTTGGATGTGCAAGAGGGAGATGACCCTGTTTTTCCCCATTGAATATGAAAAAATAAATTTGTGTGTGTTATTGTTAGTTACCTCCAGTCTGAGAGACATGGAGGTAAAGTGCACATTGCCAATCATTACATTACCTTAACATTTCTTTTATCTGATGGTACTTTGAGAACTGAAATGTAAGGCACATAGGCCAGATTCTGAGATAGTATCAATTGGCTTGGCCCTGTTCATTTCAACAGTTCTTTGCTAATATACACCAGGTGAGAGTCTAGTTATATGCAAATAGAAGTTGGAGAAATACCTATTCAATCATAAACATGGAAAAGGTTTTGTTCTTGCAAAGCTAAATTAGACAGAAATTACTTCTCAACATACATTTCTCTTTCTCTTGCATTATCTTTTTTATTTCGGTTTGTGTAATTATTCCAGTCCATTTTAACACTTTAGATGTCGTGTGTGTGTTGTTACTTTTGTTGCAATATGTAGCACTTGTTGATATCAAACACTGAAAACCAGGAGTTTGGCTGGTCTGAATCTACAGTCTCAATTGCCTTCATTAGAATTGGGTTCATTTACCCAAACTTAGGATCTCAGCCAACATTTTTGTTCATTAGAGGAAGATTTTAAACTGGTAGAAAGAAGCCAAAACCGAGTATATGATGGAAATGCAAGCTTTAGTGAGAGCCGAATGATGGAGAGATGTAATATACCACTAGAGAAAAATGTGTGTCCTTTTTAGGAACAATAATGCATTTTATCGGTGAGTTGTAAAGAAACAATGAATCTACTAAACAGAGAACTATTTTAAATATAGAGTATATACCTTGGGATTGGAGAGGAACAGAATCTTTTCCGCTTTCATGTTTATATGTGCAGTTATACATCTGGTCAGGATCATCCATAGTCAGCCAGCTACTCATTGAGTATGAGTTTTGATCGTCACCAGAGGGCCAAATTTCACCACGTATTGCATTTTTATCTGCATCCGGGCCTTCCCAAGTCACGTTAATAACATTTGGGAAAAAATCCTCAAAGAGGCATACGTATGTTCCATTCCCATCTTGTGTCGTAGGAGACAGGATCTGGACCTTCTGAGGATTAAGTTTTGCTTTTGTGTCTGGATTCATTTTAGAGAGAGAAATGAAATGATTAGTCATTAAGTAAATTGAGAATTTCATTTTACACTTTTGAAACAATATAGAATCCACAGATTTGAAAGTAGATTTAGAGAAAGGCAACTTCATTTTTTGAATGTTTTTTGTTTTTTCATGCTGCTTCATTGCTTGAATTGAACACACGTTTCTATGAAAGAGAAGAATCAGTGATAGTGTCTACTAATTTGTCTTCCAAACTCAATATATATTGAAGACTTTTTAAAATTAACGGTAAGTACAGCATTATGTTGTGGTTTATTTCAAAACATGGGTGACATTGAAAATTTTCCCATTATTTAATCAAAACTTATATGTAAAAGACACCATTATAATGAGAGGAAGGGTACATCTATACAACAATAAAAGACTCACAGGAGAACCATGTGTGCCTCAAGTCCTCTGGTTCTGATTTGCAAGGCTGTGGAGCTGGGCTAAAAGTTGCTTGTATAAATGGTTAGGCACAAGCTGTATTATCAGCTCAGAAAGCCAATAACAGAGGTGGTCTATGAGCCGAGACTCCAGTTAAAGCCTGAATGTCTACAGTGCAGTATTTCGCACCAAAGCCTGAGACTCACAAACCTGAGTTAATTCAGCCAGGCTCTGAGATTTGGTGCCATGTGATGTTTATTCCAGTGTATAGATACCTGCACCACAGGATATTAAAGATTCCACAAACATATTGGCTGTGTCTACACTGCACCCCTTTTCCGGAAAAGGGATGCAGATTAGACACTTCGTAATTGCAAATCCGCGGGGGATTTCAATATCCCCCGTGGCATTTGCATTTACATGGTTGCCACTTTTTTCCGGCTTGGGGATAAGCCAGAGAAAAGCGCCAGTTTAGACGTGATTCTCCGGAAAATAAGCCCTTTTCCGGAGGATTTCTTATTCCTACTTTCAAGTAGAAAAGGGCTTATTTTCCGGAGAATCACGTCTAAACTGGCGCTTTTCTCTGGCTTATCCCCAAGCCGGAAAAAAGTGGCAACCATGTAAATGCAAATGCCGCAGGGGATATTTAAATCCCCCGCGGATTTGCAATTCCGAAGTGTCTCATTAGCATCCCTTTTCCGGAAAGGGATGCCAATGTAGACACAGCCATCCCCCGCGGATTTGCAATTCCGACTCGTCACATTAGCATCTCTTTTCCAGAAAGGGATGGCAATGTAGACGTAGCCATAAAGAGGCTGAAACAAAATACAGGACTATGTAGCACTTTATAGACTGACAACACGGTTTATTAGATGATGAGCTTTCATGGCCCGACCCACTTTCTCAGATCAAATAGTGGAAGAAAATGGTCACAACCATATATACCAAAGGATACAATTAAAAAAATGAACACATATGAAAAGGACAAAGGACATTTCAGAACAGAAGGGGGCTGTAGAAGGGAGCACGGCTACATTTCTATCACTATATTAAGAGGCCTCTTTTGAAAAACCACTCTAATATTTTATCAAGAGATTCCATTTGTCCTAAACTCACCACTCATATTATTTTGGAACCTTGATAAGCACTTTTTAAACAAGTGAGAAAAGTAAACTTTAACTCTTGTCCACCTTGTGAAATGTAACCTTCGCTGACAATATTTTTCATTAATGGATCACATTAAACAACATACCAAGTAACCTATGTAGAGGACTCACTTGCTAGCACATCAGAGGGCGCTGTTGCAGAATACCATTTTGGGAAAGTACACAAAATACATACACATGTATCACTCCATTAAAAATATTAATTAAGAAATTGTCAAGGATTATGCATCCTGAAATGAATTTTTTGTGCTAGACAAATAATATGAAGTGTTACGCATAATGCTCAACACTTCCACCAACCAAGTCCCTTAAAAATGCCCAAAGAAATAGTTAAAGGTGTAACTTTAGGCAACTGCTTCTGAAAATCTTGATTATGAAGCATTACTAATAATGGGATTTTCAACAGAACTCAGCTACCTAATGTTTGCTGAGGAACAGAAGGGAGGTTACTGCATGTGTCCAAATCCTCAAGTGGATTAGCAAAGTGAAGTTCTGCTATATCTCCAGCAGTAGTTTGGAAAGATTCTGCCACAGTATTGAATTTGTTACACAAGAAAAGGTGATTAAAAAAAATTGTCACTTCATGAAATTTTAAAAAATTGCTGACTGCTGTAGGATTGGATATAACAGAACCAAAATATTTTAATTAAAAATTGTTCTGAAAGGATGAAAATATTATTTCATCCCTGAGTTTGCGTAAGGAGATGAAATAATAAATATTGAGTTAGGCCAACAAAAGGGAATGAAATAATAAATACTGAGCCATGTCAACAAAAAAGAAAATTACCTACACAAATCATTATCCTTCTGCGTGTTACTGACAGTAAAAAGATACATGTTTTTAAAACAGTGTATTGAATTTACTATTATCACAAGAAGTGAACAGGTGTAAATGATACTTTTTAAAAACAGTATATAGAATTTACTATTATCACAAGAAGTGAACAGGTTCTCAACCCTGTTATGGCAGCTAATCTCTGTCCCCATTTGTTAAACTGTAACGGCAGCTAATCTCTGTCCCCATTTGTTACTGTGGGATACATCCCTGAAAATCAGGTTCCCATCCCAGCCAACTGTCAAAGAAATACTCTTTGCAGAAAGAAGAAAGATCCTCATGTTATAAACATGCATCACAAAGAAGAAACGGAAGTTTGTAGTGTTTTTAATAAATAATAAATATTATAGCTCTGATCCCACAAAGTCTTACTCATGTGCTTAACATTATGCACTGAATAGTCCCACTCATGTCAAAACTGGTGGAGATTCCTTTTTGGAAATGATTTCAGCCTATATAAGTGGAATTTTGAACAAGTAGGTGTGTTGTAGTTAAGATGTGTTTATTATATGATGTATCATTTTTCTTTTTTAAGAAGGCAATTGGCTCCGGCCCCTTCGACTTCCCTCCTTTCTCAAAAGAAATTCCCTTTAGTATCAATGGGAAGTTCGCAAAAGTAAGGATTGCAACTTAAAAGATTAAGTTGTAAGCAACTCCCTGCTAATAATTTTATGTTCTCATGCCCTAATAAATCTCTAACGTGTCAAGAACTCCTTATTGTTTTTGCAACACGGCTACCCCTCTGAGACTATTTATTGTGTGTGTTTCCAATCTGCATACCACTTATGGGTAAACATAAGTAAATAATACTGGGGTACTATTTGAGAACAAAATCCATGCACATTACACCCACGAGGTAAAGCTTTATTACTACATTTGTCTGTTGTTAGCCTGTTATTTATGATTACACTGTCATGAGTGTTAATAAATTATTACATTCATAAAAATTTAGCCAGTGTAAGAATTCTTGCATTCAGATAAATTATTAAACTGAATTTGACAGAGTACGCAATTATGCCTATATTATTGCAATTTATGCAGAATTGAGAGCCATTTAATTCAATCCAAAATGGAGACAATTATAATTATTTGTCAAGGTGAGATTACACTGACATTTTCAAATGCTGTGTATTAATATTAATTGGGTAGCTTTTAAATTGTATATAAACATCCTTCATTTCACTGAGAAGGGGATCTGTTTGACATTTGAGATATAATGTTGGACTCATAATTTCTGAGACCTAATGAATTGATGTGACCTAATGAAATGGTGTTCAGGATTTTGGCCAGTTGATCTCTTTGGTCACAGACCCATTGGCTATTCCATGCCCTCACTCTTCTCTACCTCTGGTCCCTAGTGCTCTGTGGCTTATCCCCTCCCCACACTGGACAGAAATGTGGATGTTCTGCTTGTCCGGGGCACTGATCCTACAAAGAAAACAAGAGTCCAGTTTTGACCCAGGGTGAGCCAAAAAAATTGTGTCAATCATTCATAGTCAGGGTGATCATTCCTCTGTTTTATACTGAATTATCTACATTATCTTCATAGTTAGATAGTAAAGGCATTCTTTCATTCTACTGTAGATTGCATATCACATTTTCCATTGTTATCCTTTTTGAATAAATTGCATTCTGCATTCTATTATCATAAGAAACATTTTCTCTATGCTAATATAGAACTTATTTGAAAGAATGAGCTTTGTGCCAGAGCCGAAGACTTTGATATCATTGTTCTCACTGTATTCAGGTGCTTTGCAAAAACTCATAGGCCAGATCTTTAGTTACTGGAAATCAGAGGGGCTCCACTGAAGATCTGGCCCATAAAGCTTCATATTATTTATATGCAATTATGAACAGGACAGAAGTTCATAGAATCACCTTAATATAGTAGACTTGAGATTTAAGTGACTTGGCCAGCTGCTTGGGGTGAGCCACACTGGCCACTGCAGAAGTAGGGAGGTCACAGATAGACACAGAATCCACGAGTTCTGCACCTTCCATGACAGACATGGAACCCTAGTGATAACTAGATGCACTTTATTGGACACACTTATTCCTATATCTTGCTCATTGACATCTGTAAGCTTGGTTCTGTTTCCAAATTTGTTTTCTCATCT